AGGGTCCATTGTCTGCATGATCATTTCCAAAGTTGAACTGTGGATATGGTACATTCCCAAACGTTTCGCCGGCATCGTAGTCGGCATCGTCAGTAAGCATCGCCATTCTTAGCACCACACATCAAATCGTCAAAGAGACAAGTGAAACCGACCCTTTGACCAAACTTGTGCTAAACAATTGTGGTATCTCCCCTTCTGCCCTGGGTTATTCGCGTTTCCGGTACATCAGTGTTCAAAACCACATCGACGGTTCAACTTTGAAAATGATGATGCAGACAATGGACTCCGGACTAGGTGCGTTCCTCCAAGTCTTCCTGCCAATATGACCACGTTGCGAAAAAAAGGTCAAAAAACTTCTATACAACGAAATGAGACTGCGACCATACAAAAGACCACACCATCTTGGTCTTCATACCTTAAAAAGCTTAGATTTACGGTACATATGGAGATAGATACAGCAATTAGGGATGGGCCTGCGAGTTTTATTGACTCATCAGCTTGAATAGGGTTGTAGGGATGATGGAAGGACTTCGTAAATTGGCCTCACCAGATACCGAAAGAGGGTTGCTTTGGAAGTTCGACTTTCGCGTAGAGCGAATAAGAGCTCGGCTCACCATCCTGCGACCCCGATTACTTACTGATGAGTTTTGATGGACATGGGGGTGAGAACGACAATTGGAGTATGAAGGTGTCACTTCGCTCAAAGGAGCCCACGACACTATATCTAAATAATCACGGTAAAAATTGTAATAGTGAAGGCATGATAGGATGCTACCGGAAATGCGAATGACCCAGGGCAGAAGAGGAGATACCACAATTGTTTAGCACAAGTTTGGTCAAAGGATGGGCTTCAATTGTCTCTTTGACGAGTTGTTATGTGATGCTTAGAATGGCGATACTCACTGACGATGCCGACTACGATGCCGGCGAAAAGTTTGGAAAGGTACCATATCCACGGTTTAACTTTGGAAATGATCATGCAGACAATGGACTCCGGACAAGGTGCGTTCCTCTAAGTCTTGCTACCAACATGACCAAGTTGCAAAAACAAGGTCAAACAATCTCTAAGCTTTTCAAGTCTTCTTTATCGTTGTAATGAGATGTATTCACCCTATTTCTTTTAAGATGATAAAGGTCTGGTAGTAGAATTTTCCCACAATGATATGAGTTTAGCTGACGTTTCCATTGAATTTCACATAGCCTTGCATTCCCAAAAGTTGTTCTCATCCAGGCACCAGTGGACTGCAGTTTCGACCTCAGCGGGATGTACCACGTCCACGGTTCAACTTTAAAAATGATGATGCATAAAATGGACTCCGGACTAGGTGCGTTCCTCTAAGTCTTGCCACCAACATGACCAAGTTGCGAAAAAAGGTCAAACAACCTC